GATACAATCAGCTTTTCTGGGCTGCGAGCACAGATTGCCAGCTCACATCCAGCTTTACATCCACAACCGGAGTGGTTTTAGGGCACAACGCCCTGTTTGGGGCACAACCGAGCGGACGGGCACCTCCGCGCTCTTCGGGAAGAGGCAGCTCTGAGCTGGCGACAGGAGAAAAGCCGCACTCACCACGTGAGAGACCTGGAGCTTGTTCAGACCCAACGGAGATCCCGAAAACAAACGTCTCACGGCGTAGAGCTCGGCCACGCGTGGCTGGGAACCTCGCTGCACCTGAAAGAACCACGGCGCGCGTTACCGACACCTCCCACGGGCGTTCATCACCACCGGGCAGGGCCGAGGCGGCGGCAGGACGGGCAATACCGGCCGCGGTGTTGACGTACCTCGGCGCAGAGCTCCTGCAGGCGTTTCTGGAGCTGCGGCTCGGGCAGGGAACGCGCTGCCAGGGCTAAACTCTTCACTACATCCGGATACAAGTCTCGCCGGATGGCGTCATAGGCGTCCAGGAACTCAATCTGCTGGTTGGGGGTCCAGAAGTAACGGATGAGGAGCTGGCGTGGGAAGAAATACCTTGGGGAGAAGAGGAGGGAGGGATTCAGGGAGGAAAAGCAAACGGGCCAGCCGGGGCGGTCGGAGTTCGTGCTGCTGGAAATAGGCACAAGCAGCATCCTGCTCCGAGACGGCTCATCTCGCCCCGTAGGAACTGCGGACGTTCGCTCCTCCGACGGGGCGAGCTCGGAAATCCCGGAATCGATGAGGATGGAAAAGAGCCTTGAGATCACCAAACCGGCTGGAGCTTCAGCACAACACAGAGACCTCTCACTCACCCGCAGGACACAAAAGTCAGGGAACAGAATTGAAAAATTCACGGATTTAACCCGGATTTAGCTCCGGCGGCAGGACAGCTGGCAGGGAGAGGGACACCCGAAGCGCTCCGCAGACAGCTGGGAAGGAATCGTGCGAGGTTTCTCCGGCCAAGCACGCATGGGGCTGTTCCCTGCGTGCCGGGGATTATTTCTGCGCGTTAGAAAGAGGGAGCCGGGCAGGTTGTTGGCACGCAGGAGCCCGTATTGCGAAACGATCGCTGGGCTCAGCAGGCTACGGGTATTTTTTTATTACGGCAAGAGGCAGAGGGAGGAAGGGAGACCGGCTGGTTGGATTTATGACTCTCAAAAAAACCCCGCAATTCCATTAAATTTAAAATATTGCAGTCAAGGAGCCCAAAGATAGGGGCCGCAGCGTCACCGCGCTGCCGGTACTCACATCAGGACGATGACCAAGAAGTTGGCGAAGGGCGGGATGGCGATAATTCCGATGGGAATGGCCTTGATCACGTCCCTGCGAAACTGCCTCCGAAATTAGAAGAGAGAATCAGGATCCGACACCAAATTCGCAAAATTCCCTCAGCAGGGAAGGCAGAGCCGGGCGTCGCGGCACCGAAACGCGTTTCCCCGAGCGCCGCGCCGTACCTGCCGCAGCCTCTCCATCTCCCGGTAGGGAAGTTGCTGAACGCTCAGTCTCTGATGGGCCATTTTAGATTTGATTTTTCTTATTTCTTTGACTTCCAGGAAGAGCGCTTGGATTCCTGCCAAAACAGAGAGCACCTTCAGGTCCCGATTCCTGGGCAAACGCCTCCGGCGATGGGGTTTTTAACCCCGGGAAGGGACCAGGCAGCTTTTTCCCCGGAGAAGCGGAAACGTTCCCTCCTCGTTGGAACCCACCTTTGGTGAAAGTCGCGTACAGCACGTAGAAACGGGGGAAGGTCCTTTCCAAAAACCTCTCGTATCTCCCGTTGATGCGTTTCACTTTCGACGCCAGGGCGGCGAGGACGGACCTGGAGCCCGTGGAGAGGCGAAAC